GTATACGTAAATAGAATGTATTAAAGAATATTAATCAAGTAAATGACAGTGATAAACATAATAAAATAATTAAATAACATAAACTAGCAATACCTTATTAATTATTTAGAGTAAAAAATACCATAAATTAAACAAATAAATGAGATTAGAGACACCTTACTAAGTAAATACACATAGATATAATATAAAATAAATAAACATAATAGTATATAGAGTTTAAAAGGACAAAAGTCTCTTCCCCCTTAACCTTAGTAGAAAAAATGAAATGACTTGGAGATACTCTAAGATTGTATATTTCTTTTCCGTTTCTCCCTTTTCCTTTTCTCTCTTCCTTCTTAATATTCTTTCTCACCGGAAGTTATTTCTTTCTTTCTTTTCAAATTTTCCGGTTCAATGTCTCCCCTACCCATGACCTATTAATAACAAAGTTTGTAATGATTACTTTTTATTTTTATTATTTTTTTAAACTTAGTTAAAATAGAACTATACATTAATCCTTTAGTTACTAAGAGATAAGTCTTATCTCGAAGGATAAGATCCGTGCAACAGATAAAGCAGAATTTTTTAAAATTTGTTAATATTTAGCTAGTAATATTAAAATTGTCAACGATATATATAAACTTTTTTAAAATTATTCTTCACATGTTTAAATTAATCAAATTTCTTTTTTAAGTTGATTGTTTTTACTTAATTAATTATTGATTGAAAAAAGCTCTCTTTATCTTCTCCAATACTAATGAGAGAAATCATTAATCTCATTAATTTTTGGCATTTACTATTTTTCGAACAATAAAATGTTAATTAATTAAAGATATTTTAGAAAAAAATAATAAATGTGAGAGACAATTAGAAAATAATTTTATAGAACCAATGAATTAGATACAAGTAATTAATATTGTGCTAAATTCAAGGTTGAATTGTTAAGACAATATCTAAGTTTGATTCTTGGTAAAAATAATCCTTAACAAATTTTACTTATTTATTGACCGAATCAAATTAATTTAAGATAAAATTTTAGAATACTAATAAAAAATAATAAAAAAATTATAGAAAGAGACAAATAACGATCTTATATATAAATATAGGTAATCCTTTATATTTTGTAAAGCTAACATATTTTAGAATGTTATACCATTTCCAATAAAAGGATAATTTTGTAAATTGTTACTTTCATTTACTTATTACTCTCTTGGTATTATAATTTTTTATCTTTAAAGTTTTTACATAATCCTTAGAAACTATTTAATACTAGTACGTTAAGTTGAAAATATCTCTTTTAATACTTTTAATATGAACAATTAAGGAGTAGGTGGAGTAGGAATAACCATTTTTAAATAAGGGTATATATATAAAAAATGTTAACTAATATTACTTGTAACATGTAAAACATACAAAATTTTGAAACAAAAGAGAGTGTTTAAAAGTAAAACATAAAAAATTATGGTATGAGAGAAATAAATTTTAATCCTTTCATTCTATTTTGTTTGATGTTTTAGAAATTTTTATTTATTTCAATTTGATTGTCATTTTACAATATTAATGCAATATTGAATTTTTTTCCTATTATACCCATAACTATTATTAATTTATTATTGGTGGAATTCAAAATGCTTAAGAGCATATTAGAAATGACTTATTTTATGATGTCAAATATATAAAATTCTATTTTTTAAGTCTTGTGCCAAAACTTTAAACGTTAAATAAAATGGAACTAAGAGAGTATTAACTTATTAGTATAAAAAGTTTAGGTTAAAAATTATTAGCCAAGTGGTTAAGTGGGGAGAGGTTAGGATAGTTAGAAGCATGAGAACCTAGGTTCAATCCTCATTATGACCATATTTTTAATCTTTCCTATTTTTACAAAAAAAAGAAAAAGAGTACATTACATTCGCACCTTATATTTTTTTTTTTTGAAATGGCACTCAATATTCCTTCCTTTTTTGGACTTTAGTGAGATATCGTAAAAGTTGAGAAAATGTTACACAATCCTTAGACTTATAAACGTCAAATTTGTTAACATATTCGTATATGTAACTTCCTCATGATTTTTAATATACTTTTTCTTCCAAAAATGTCCCTCACTTTCTCCATTAAAAAGAGTATTTTGAGAGAATTTTTTCTTATTAAAAGGCATGTGCAGGTCACATGCATTACACAAATTAATGTGTTAACATATTTGACGTTGTTTATGGATATAAAGATAATATAATATCTTTTTAACTTTTTAAAGAGTTTCATTATATATATAAAAAAGGTTATTGAGTAAAATTTTAAAAAACTGTAGGAGATATGAATGTAATTTACTCAACTTATTATTATAGAACATGAGAGTATAAAAATTTAATTAAAAGATTTTAAACTATAAAGATTTACCTAAAATTGATGATTTGTCAAAAAAATAAAAATAAAAAAAACTAAAAGTGATGAAAGTATAAGAACTTAGCTTACACTTTAGTCATAAGTCACTTTCTCTACGAGCACTTGTTTTATAAACCCTGGGTGATTATCTAATTCATAAATCTTACAAATAAAATTTAAAAAAAATTACAAATGAAAAAAAAAAATTGTAAGTATTTGTATCGTGGCCCTTTCCATTTTTTGGGTATTAAAACTGGTGACCCTCATCCTTGTACTTCCAAGTTTCTTTCCCAACTATTCTCACCTTTTAGCTCATGATTTTTTTTTTAAAAGTTCAACTACTTTTTGGCCTCAACATTCTAGTAACACATCCTTGTTATGTAGTACAAGGTGTAATACAAAATCTCCACATGAGTTGTATTTTCTTGTCTTCATAACAAAGTAGAATGTTGCTTGAGACACCCTCGTAACATAAGCATGAAGAGGATTTTAGATTATTGTTTTTTCTCCCTCTTCTAATTCCCTACACAGC